ATAGGTTGCGCCCTCGGCGGCCGAGAATAAAACAGTCTCCTATGGGTCGCGCCGTAGGTTGCGCCAACGGCGGCCGAGAAGAGAACCGTCTCCTATCGGTTGCCCCATAGGTTGCGCCCTCGGCGGCCGAGAATAAAACCCTCTTCGATCGGTTGCGCCATAAGTTGCGCCATAGGTTGCGCCCTCGGCGGCCGAGAATGAAACCGTCTCCGATCCGATTCCTCCATAGGTTGCGCCCTCGGCGGCCGAGAATAAAACAGTCTCCTATGGGTCGCGCCGTAGGTTACGCCAACGGCGGCCGAGAAGAGAACCGTCTCCTATCGGTTGCCCCATAGGTTGCGCCCTCGGCGGCCGAGAATAAGAGCGTCTCCTGTCGGTTGCGCCATACGCTGCGCCCTCGGCGGCCGAGAATAAAACCGTCCCCTATCGGTTGCGCCATCGGCGTCCCAAAATCAAACCGTCTCCTATCGGTTGCGCCGTAGGTTGCGCCCTCTGCGGCCGAGAATGAAACAGTCTCCTATCGGTTGCGCCATAGGTTGCGCCCTCGGCGGCCGAGAAGAAAACCGTCTCCTATCGGTTGCGCCATAGGTTGCGCCCTCGGCGACCGAGAATAAAACCGTCTTCGATCGGTTGCGCCATACGCTGCGCCCTCGGCGGCTGAGAATGGAACAATCTCCTATGGGTTGCGCCGTAGGTTGCGCCCTCGGCGGCCGAGAAGAAAACGGTGTCCTATCGGTTGCGCCATAGGTTGCGCCCTCGGCGGCCGAGAATGAAACCGTCTCCTATCAGTTGCGCCATAGTTTGCGCCATCGGCGGCAGAAAATAAGACCGTCTCCTATCGGTTGCGCCATAAGTTGCGCCGGCGGCGGCCGAGAATAAAACCGTCGCGTAACGGGTGCGACCGGTCAGTTACATTCAGTCAGTTAACATCGCGAGAAGCTACGGGCTACGCCCGAAATGAGGAACTCGATTTCATCCCATCGCCGAGCCCCAGCGGGAGCATGAGCAACTGAGAATTTTGATGGTGATGGGGGAGGAGTCCAAAAGTGCGGGCCCAAACGACACAGCATGTTCGAACTCAATCGTACGGCCACGCCGGAAGCTGAAAGCCCTGACAGTCAGAGGATCCAAGGGAGGGCGTTCGTTCCAGCAGAAGGTTCGCACAACCTCATCGCCAATTAGCTGGAGCCGGCAATGGTTCCGATGAGATCGGGCTGAGAGCACGCGCCAGGCCCAATGCAAGATCTCAAGAGGCCATCGATGCCATGAGCGCATTGGATAGCTCCTGCTATTTGGCCGACTTCGGGACTCTGGACCTCAAAGTGCGCTCAAGATCTTTGCCCACGCCACCGAGCCCCTCAGAAGAATCGCCGACACCTTCGAGCATGGGATGAACGGAAAAGAGTGGCGCGCGGGGGGAAAGGACGAGGAGGGGGACGGAGGGAAGAGGGATGCAAGTCCCAGACGTTTGCGAGGGGGGAAACCTGTGGTGTAACTGCACGAATTGTTCACGCGTGGCCTTGCTTTCCGATTCATCCCTGGCAGCCGTGGAAAGCATCCCGAAACCCAAACAAACACAAACGACACTGTGACTGATGCTCCACACCGTCAACGAAAACTCGTGGTACCCGCCCCGATCACCTCGCGCCAGTCCGCAAAACTCCAGTCCTCAAACGCTGGCCTCGGCAGCGTGTCCGAGTAGAGGAACGGCAAAAAACGCTCGAAGGCCTGGGCCGTCCAACCCTGGATGGAGGCGTCCTCTCTGTCCTTCCAGCCTCCGCGCAACAATGCGTCGAAGAAGGGGCTCCGGACCTGCAGGATGAAACGGTGGAGGCGGAAACCGCGGCCCTCGACGGTAACAGTGATGTCCGTGTGCTCTTGGCTGATCAGTGCCTGCCCGAGCTGCTCTCCGAGGGAGATGCCCGCGCGGGTGGTCGCAGCACGGCCCGCCATGGATCTGTGTATCCGCGCTGCGTTCGAGGGTGAACGTCGCTCGGGCGGGTGATCATCCTGACTTGCGCCAGAGAGGCTACGCAGATGGCCATCCAACAAAAACTGCAGTGGCGCAAGCCTCGTCGCAAGAACGAGACAACATCGAGATCGTGCCTCGAGAAGCTCGCCCGCGTCAACTCTGAATGGGCCGTTCAACAACGAGTACTACCGAACGCGCCTCTCAACGTTGACGGGGCCGCTCAACGATGACGTATCTCCAAAAAGCACACAGCGGAGTCGCGTTAATCTCGACTAGAATTGCAAGAAGACCCTTGCACCCGCAGTACTGGTGGCGATGAAAATGATGGACCACTTCGACTAGGAGAGATTCCGAGCTCAAGTTCAACACGACTGTGAACGTCAACCCGAAGTTCGATTCGTACTATCTCGTGGTCACTTCGTCTCTAACTCTGTACGCTTCGCCCTGGCACTGGCCCAGAACCCATGACGCGCTGCGAGGGCCTCCTTCCCCTCGTTCTTCTCTCCCTGGTTGCCACGACTCACGAGTCACGATCGGAAGCCGAGGTCGAGCAAGCTCAGCCTAGGCTGTCTTTAGAAACGAACCCTCATCGTGAACGTCCCCGATATGCGACCTTCTCTGTAATACGTAACAATGAACAGAATTGGCCACGCCCGACGCAAACTGCCAGACCCAGAAGGACTCTGTGACATTGAAAGGATCCGCCACCGTGCCTTCAGGCACGGAATGGGCATGTCCTCAGGTCCATTGCTGTCGTCCTCAAGCCTTTGGACTAAGGCTTCTTAATGGATCCGGACCCCAGCGGGCCAAATCTCCTGAGGTCCGGGGCGGCACGTCCCGTGCCCTTTCCTGGCCATTGAGGGCCCCTAAACTGGCCAAGAGGGCCCCAAGAGGCCCCCAAGAATGTCCGAGAGGGCCCCGAGTCGCCGAACGATCCGTCCAAGACGCCCAGGATGGCCTCCAGACGGCCCAAGAGGCTTCCCAGACACCCCGAGAGGCCTCCAAGAGGCCTCCCAAGAGAGCCCCCAAGAAACCACATGCATTGATCCTCTCTCGGTTTTTGAACGATTTGGGCGTTCTCGCCTTTTCGACTTTCCGACGCTCCAAGACGGCCCAAAGGGAGCCCCAAATGGCCCCAATGCGCACCAACAGGCCTCCCATAGAGCCCCAAACGGCCCAAGAGAGCCCCAAGACGGGGACCCAAACAGACATTTCGAGCCCTCGGCCCCGAGAAGCCCCCAGGAGGCCCCCAAGAGGCCCCCAAGAGGCCCCCAAGAGGCTCCCAAGAGGCCCCGAAGAGGCCCCAAAGAGGCCCCAAGATGCCCCCCAAGAGGCCCCCAGCCCCCAAACTGCCACCAGGAGGCCACCGAGAGCGCTCCGAAGGCATGCGGCCCGCCCGTAGTTGCGGCCGCTGGTCAATCCCTTACTGGCCATCGTCTCACACCTCCTCCTCCTCCTCCTCCTCCTCCTCCTCCTCCTCCTCCTCCTCCTTCCACTGGCCCCTGCGCCAGCTGAAGTCCCCCTCCCCGATGCCCCGACAAAGCTGGCCGTTGCCGAGGCGCTGGGTGAGACTGGCGCCCTGTCTGAGGTCCCCTCTCCCGCCGGGCCCCCCTTCCCCCGCTGGTGGGCTTGTTTCCCCCCGCCACCAGAATACTTTAGTAGTGGAAGCAATTGGTTTTCAAAATGGTTGGTCTTTAGAAGCTCTGCGTGGCGACGCCCCCGTCGCAACGCGTGCCCTCTGCGTGCCTGCGGGGGCGCCGCCACGTAGAAGTACTGGAGACCGAGCATTTGGGGCGTCGCTACGCACGCCCTCTGCGTGGCTGCGACCATGTGTTAAAAAAACCCTAAAACCACTTAAATTCACGAATGAGGTATGAGGTAAGTAGGAGGGGGGTCCTCCCTCCGCTCTTCTTCCTCCTTCCCCTCCTCATCCTCGTCCTCCACCTCCTTCCCCCAGGAGAGCCCAGAATCGAATCGATAAGTCGGATCGGCAATCGAAATGAATCGGATCGGCGGAAATCGGCAGCCGAGTCGGGACAAGTCGAATCGGCAGACATCGGCAACCTAGTAGGCCTCCAATAAGACATCGGAGCCCAAGTCGGAATCTCAAGCCGAATCAGATCGGAATCGGAAGCCATCGAAATCGAATCGAATCGAATCGGAGGAATCGAAACGAGCCCTGTTTCCCCCGCTCCAACTCGTGGTGGTTGTGGTGGGAAGCGAGCCCATCGCCTGCTGCGCCCGCCCCCTCAGCACACGGCGGCCCGAGAGAGGGGCGCCGCGGCGCCGCTCCGGGGGCTGCCACGGGCCGATCGGCACCGCGCCGCGGCGCCCCGTGTTGCGTACCTTGTCTTTTCGGGGAGGGGGGAGGATTGCAAAAAAACCCGAAGGATTGCAAAAAAACCCTTCGAAGGATTGCAAAAAACCCTTCGAAGGGTTTTTTTTGCAATCCTTCGTTTGTTTTGCAATCCTTCGAAGAGGCAGAGGTGCAGTCGGCCCGTATCATATGGCTGCGCGGTAAGAATACAGGGACCTTGGACGCCCGTTTCGAAGCCTTTCCAGCGCGGCGCGGGGAACGGAGGCAGCCAAGGATCGACCGAGGAGGCAAGGATGCGAGGGTGCCCTTGGGAAGGTTGCCCATCCTTACTATGCGGATTGACTGTAATGGGGCGAGTCGCGCCCTGGGTTGCTCTCAAGACCCGCGCTTCGTCGTCTGGCAGCGTGTCGCGCGGGAGTGTCTCACAGGGCCGTCGTTCGTGGAAAAGCTGGCTTCGAGTAGCTTTCTGCAGTGCGCTCGCGCCTAGTTCTTCCATCGGTGGATGAGGTTCTCGTGGGCGATGTGGCTTCTAACAATAAGTTCTTCTTCCTTAAATGGCTGTCTTCGAAGTAACTCATCAAGGCGGGGTAAGAAGGAACCGGCTACGCGGTTGCAGTATACAAGTCCGCCGCGTCTCGACATGATTCGGTTTTCCCTCCTCTGTTGCTCGACGATGTTGTTCGAACACGTCTACACAACTGCTGGGTTGGCAGACCTGGACACACTCCTCATGCGTTGGCATCGTGATGCAAAGCGCAACCCGCAATGTTCAATAATGTACTGACAGCGTTTACGGCGACACGGAGAGGGGCGATTCATGCCGCCCCCCCTCCCCGTATCACTGTCACGGAGACTTTGCGTCAGAGGTTGAGTGGAGTCAACAATGTGTTATGCATCGACGCTTTTAGGTGCAGGTGCCACAAGGCACGTGCATGGCGGTGGCGATCAAGAGCATGGCCCATGAAGTCGCTCAAACAGAAAAGGTGGCATGCCCCTTTTACCTTGTCGCGGCAGTTTGCAATACACGTCCGCTTCTCCTCTGGCATGTTGCGTGTCACAACTGGCCTATCCTCGCGAGCGTCGGTTTGGGCTGCGCTGGCGCATCCTTCAATCGGATGTGGCTCGTCTGGCCGATTGCTCGTGATTATCATGACAGGCTACTGCAAGCTGGATGTTTGGAATCCAGAGGTCTGTACCAACGCGCGATGGTGACCGAGTAAGACTGTCGCTTGATATAAGCCGCTTGAAATTACACATCCTTATGCCGCAGCGCCTTACTATGCTCTGGTGCATAAGAACTGTTATGGCTGCTGATGCTCCCTCCCTCATCTCTCCTCGTTCCGAATCTCCTCGAACTCTGCTTCTTCCTCACGCTGATACCAGCGGAACTGTCGCATTTGCCGCTGCTATTGTTTGTTGCTACTCGGTCTCGTCGTCGTCGTCATCGGCCCCGCATGGTTCTACTCGTTCCTTCTCCTATTCCTCCTGCTCCCTCTAGCCCTTTCACGACGGATTTGTTGAATTGAGCGCAGTTGTTTTCCTTTTGGTCTTGCTCTTCCTCGTCATGCTCTCGCCTCATTCGCGGAATTCAAACCTGAAGCTAGAACAACAAAACTGCAGCTAGAACGTGTAGCGCAACAAACACTGCAACATAACAAACAAAGCTTCTGGTCGGGTCGAGGGCGCCGTGGGCTTTAACGCCCGACAAGGTTCTCTCCTAACTGCTCTGGTCTCACTCGCGGAATCAACATTTGAAGCTAGAACCGCCAAGCTGCAAACATGAAGAACTCCAACGCGTAAGAAACTGCAGCGCAGACAACTGCAATGCTACGTAAGCTGCGCTCTGGCCGGGTCGAGGGTGTCGTCAACTTCATGCCCTCCCTCAACCTCTCCAAATCGCTTTCGTCTCACTCGCGGAATTCCTAAGCTGAAGCTGGAACGGCAAATCGGCAACGCAAACAAATCTGCACCGGAACACCAACAAATATGCAACATATGCAACTGTCTGGTCGGGTGGTCGTCGAAAGCCCCGTTGGCTTCACACCCTCCATGGACCTCTCCAAACCGTTCTCGTCTCACTCGCGGCACCCGAATAGCTAGAACATCAAAGTTGCAGCCAAATTGCAAAGCCAAAACTTGTGGGGCTTGCAACGTCAAAGCGTGCGGTTTTGAGACTTGGCGTCCAGCCGTGCGCTACACGGCTGAGAATGTGATTTTCTTGGTGCTGAGCTTGTTTCTAAGCGTTGAGATATTCCTCTATTCGTGGCTGTCTCTGATTACCCGTACTCATGGAACAAGGCGAGTTTACGAGCGCAGTGAGCCGTGCAGCGCTGTCTAGCTTCGTGCCGAGGCCCCCTCAAGGTCCAGGGATCCGAGGCCTGTCTAGCTGCGTGCCGAGGCCCTGTCTAGCTGCGTGTCTAGGGGGTGTAGGTCCAGGGCGAGACTTCCATGCTAGCTAGGCGGGTCCATCCTCGCAACAGCTGGTATTAGCTCTTCTGGCCTATCCTTGCAAACGCTAGTATTGGCTGTGCTGGCCTACACTCGCAAACCGTGGATTGGGCTGGCATGTCCTACCCGTGGATGCAGTTCTTATGGCCGACTACCGCCTGGATGGTTGGAGTCCAGAGGTCTGCAGTAGCGCGCGATCGTGACCGAGTGAGGCAA